TCTCAGAAGTGAGATTACTGGCTCAAGAGGCTTTTACATCTAAATAATTTTGGAGTATCACTTCATTGCTTTCTAAAGGAGTTGTATCAATTTATAGTACTGTGAGCAATGCATGGCCATTAGGAGAAACAGTAATGAGAGCAATTATATATTCTCATCACATAGTTATACTTTATAATTAATAAACTTAATTTAATACACAAATAAGAGATTTGAAAATAGGCATTTTATACAATAAGGTTTTTAGCATGTGATTTTCATGGAAACAGTAATGTTAAAATTCTGTCTTTAAAAAGTATCGAGTAATGGAACTGAACTGAATGGATCACATGAATGTATTTCATGTTCTAATTTTCTCCCAATAGTTCATTACACAAAAACCATTGTAGGACTTTAAAGCCAAATCTTATTTACATTAAATAAATGACTTAAGAAACATTTTTAGAAAATTACAGTCTCATACAGCATTCAATATCCCCATTTTTTAAAATTATAAAATGAGAATGTCATTATTTTTGGAAAAAATACTGACTTTAAGACATATAATAGAATGACATTAAATAGTGTAGCATAACTTTTGAAGTCATATACTTATTGTCAAATGACATCTTTTTGGAAAAAATATTGATATTAAAAGTCACAAGCTACTAGTGTGAACCCCTTAAAGTTGTTTTGTTCTGTTTTGTTTTTAGCAGAGTCATTTAGAAGTTTAAAAGAAACTACTGCCCACTGAACACTGAATTAAAAAGTGAGTTAATTTCTGCACTCTTCTTCCTTGATTCTGTAAGGAGATAATGACAATTAATATTTTCTACTTATAGATTATTAATGTTTTAAGCCTATATTCTCCTTCCTAACACTTGAAGAAGCTGCTGCCTTTTCTCAATGGAAAAATAGATTTATTCTCAAATGGACAACAAGCTGCCAGTACGGGAGAATCAAAGCTTTCAAATAAATCAACAAACAAATGGAAAGGTTAAACTCAGGATCACATATGCAAGTACATTTAGAAATGGGATATGAGCCAGGAAGGGACTAAGCACATGAGCCAAACACATTTCAGTTTAGGTAGTAATTGTAATTACTGTAATTGTGTAGTAGCTGACAAACACAAGGGTCCCTAGGCAGACAGCTGGCTAGAATATTTTGGAGTACAGCTGCCCCACAAAATCAAGCCCACACAATAGCTGCAGGTAAACTGCTTGTTAAACTGATTTCCTGATCTTAAAGTCTGTAAGCTGAATTTCTGTATATTGAGTTTCTAATAGGACTCTGGAGCCAAATTGCTGGGTTCCAAATCTAAGCTCCTCTATTCACTAGCTGTGTGACTTCAGGCTAGTTACTTAACCATTCTGTGCCTTAATTTATCCATGCATAAAGTGGGGACAATAATAGTATCCAACTTATAAAGTTGTTGGAAAGATTAAATAAGTTAATATTAAAAAAAAAACAAAAAAAAAAACCCCAAATAAATAAATAAATAAATAAGTTAATATTTAATATATGCAAAGCCTTAAAATAGTATTTGGCACATAGTAAGTGCTATATGAGTGCTTACTAATACTATTAATATCATGATTATTAATATTTATTACTACTTCTACCTGAATTTAAATAAAACTATATGCCTTTATTAAAGAATCAAAGGGATAATGAATGCTTCTACAGATGTAACCTGTATTTCCCGGCCACTGTGATTTGGGTTTAAAAATATAGTCCTGCAGCAACAGTTACATAGTAGGCCTGCGGAGAAGTAGGACAATTTTGGTGTCAGTCATTCCTGGCTTTGAATTCTACCATCAGCACAAACTTATTTGTGTAACCCTGGGCAATGTACCTATTCAACTTAAGGTTTTAAAAGGAGACTAATAATTCTTGCCTGACAAGATAACTAAGAACTAGGTAAGATGATGAATGTGAGGAGCTTGACAGATGGCCCAATGCAGAAGAATCTCAGAGTTACTTTCAAGAACTTACCTAGGTCTTGCAGTTCCATGTGGGGCCTTCCCTTTCCCTCTCTGGCCCCCTGCCACCTTCCGCAGGGCTTTACCTTTGTGCCCAGTGTAGCCAAACCAGAAAGAAGCAGGCCCAGGACCATTACCACCTGGAAACTTAGTGAGCAAAAATATCATTGGTCATTTTGTAAGTGTTATTATGCTCTATCCCCTTCATGGATCAGAGCCTTGTTGTGGCAAAGCGGCTTGCATAACTCAATGTAGCTATGAGCCACACCATGCAGGACCACCCAAGATGGACGGGTCACAGTGGAAAGTTCTGACAAAATGTGGCCCATTGGAATGGCAGGCCATTCCAGTATTCTTACCATGAGAACCCCATGAAAGCATGGGGTCGCAGAGTCGGACACGACTTAGTGACTGAATAACGACAACAAAAATTTAGCTACATAAAAAGGTTTAAAAGTCCATGTTTTTTAGAAATGTAATGTATGCATCAAGATGATATATGGGATTTGTTTTTTAAAATACTCTAGCAAAAGGAGAAAACACGGAAGAAAAGGATACACAAACAAATGTGGCAAATTTATGATAACCATGATAACTGTTTAATCAGGATGATAGGTATATGAAGATTATAGTATTTTCTCTAATTTTTAATGTGTTTGAAAAATCTTCATACATAATAAAACATTTTAAAAATTAAAATACGAACTCCTCACATTTCTAGAAGTAATACATATGGCCACTCAGCCACCAGGCAAGCAAGGTTTGTCTAACATTCCAGGCATTTTATCTCATTTCCAAAAGAATCCTAGTCAGAGCCAGTCACACATTTCAGTGAATCCTCAGTTATTCCCAGTCCAGCAGAATATGTCACATGACATATTTCAAATATGCCATAATTTCCAGTCAAGTATTTGTCAAATCTTGCTTAAGTTAGGAATTTATCATCTTCTGCAATATCATCATATGACACTTTTATAACAGACACTTACATATCAATGCTTCCAAAATTGAGGCCATAAGATAAATTTAATGAACCTCCATAACATTAAACCAAGAGGAAGAAGCTGGACATAAAAGACCACATTTAATATGGTTCCAGTTACATGAAAAGTACAGAAAAGGCAAATCTATAGAGTCAGATCATAAAGAAAGCTGAGTGTCAAAGAATTGATGCTTTTGAACTGTAGTGTTTGGAGAAGACTCTTGAGAGTCCCTTGGACTGCAAGGAGATCCAACCAGTCAATCCTAAAGGAAATGAGTCTTGAATGTTCATTGAAAGGACTGCTGCTGAAGCTGAAGCTCTAATACACTTGATGCTAAGAGCCGACTCATTGGAAAAGATGCTGATGCTAGGAAAGACTGAGGGCAAGAGGAAAAGGGAGTGACAGAAGATGAGATGGATGGCATCGTTGACTCAATGGATATGAGTTTGAGCAAACTCAGGAAAACAGTGAAGGACAGGGAAGCCTGGCATGCTGCAATGCATGGGCTTGCAAAGAGTTGGACACAACTTAGCCACTGAACAGCAACAACATACAGACAGAAAGTAGATGAGTGATTCTTAGTCTTGGAAATGGAATGGGCATTAACTGTACATGGTCATGAGTGATCTTAATGGGATGACGGAATTGTGCTAAAACTCGATTGTGGGGATGGTTGCACAACTCAGTAAAATTACTAAAAATCACTGATTTCTTAACAGGTAAATTCTGTGGTGTGGAATCATACTTCAATAAATTAAAAAAATATATATCTAAGTGGATCACAAACTTAAAAAAATTTATTAGGTATGTAAAGCATTTTATACTTGAGAAGAGCTATAACCTATTAAGTTGTGATTTCACAGTAATGATATAAAGTTTTAAAATAAAGTTGTTTTTAAAAATGTTAGTTGAATAAACATTTTAAATTAATTAATCATACAGTTAAATAAAATGATATTAACCAACCAGCAGCTTTGGTGAATGCTAGTATGGGTCGTTGATTCCTAGGTGACAAAACCCCAACTCTCTGTATGTGGGGTCCAATTTAGGATCAGGTACAAAGATCCAGTGGAATAATGTTGATGAAAATGCTTTACAAAATGCCAATGCTCTTCTAATAACAAAAAGAGGAATGGCCTACCTTAGCTGCTTGTGTTTTAATATAAAAGAAATCTTAGCTAGATTATGACAGAGATTCTCCAGACGCGGCAGGAATAATTTACCAATTGCCCAGCTTCCTTCCTCTGAGGTTTCAATTTCTCTGATGGTTTCTTCCTTCCACAAACATTACTGAACGCCTACCATAAACAATTAGGTCCTTATCTTGATTCTCAAGGGGTGCCCAGTTCCCTTCCTTCTCCTCTCTCTCTCCTTCTCCCAAGCCAAAGTGCTCCACTATGAAAACTTCCTGCTGGATTAGGGTGCAGCACCCTCAGTCTCTTTCCGGGGTTCTACTTGGCACAGCTTAAATAAATTGGCCTTTTGAAACTTTGCCAGATATTGAGGGAGAAATCCCCCACAAAAGCACAATCACGCTTTTAAATTACAGTATTAGGTCACAGAAGACGCCCCACCCGCCCACCCCCCACCCCCACCCCCACCCCCCCCCCCCCCCACAGAATGCTCTCCCAACTCCATCTGGATTTCAGTGCCTAAACTTCGGCCTCCTGTTCTTTCTAAGGAAACGAGTCTGTCCCACCTTTCAAGAAAACAATGAGGGCTCAGTGACATTTAAGTCACATGCCCAAAGAACAAAGCAGCCAGTATATTCTAAGTTCTCATCCCCATAGAAACCAGGAGCACCTTTTTTTCCTCCAATTCCCCCAGGGTCGAGGGTGATTTGTTTCCAGCAAAGTAGTGATAGTGTTGCTGTTATTTTTATTACTATTCTGACATTAGTTTGTCTAATTAATAAACCTAGAGACCTTTTGCGGTATCTAACCAGTTTTGCTAAGTTCTCTATATTTCAGCTATGCCACATCTGCAAAGATCATGAAAACAACAGTCAGGGTAGGACCCATATCTCCCTGCCTCACTGGTACAGTGATCTCACATGATTTTGTTGCATCTCCTGCCAATTCTAAAAGGGTATGTAAGGCAGATATACTATTACCGCTTACCCCAAAGCGCAAAGGACGCGCCTAAGAAGCTTGCTAGCTGATGATAGAGCCTGAATTGACACTTGTTGGGGCTGACCTAAGTGAATTTCTCTTTTTTCAAATACCTTGGTGGAATCATCCCTTTGGCAAGTAAGAACTGCGGTCAAACTGGAGTAGCTGACTCCAGGCTGGGGGAGGGGTGTTTAGCCTTCGGGCATGCGGGCTTTGCCCCCTTCACGACGCCCAGTCATTTTGTGTTGTAATTCAGTCAAGTTGAGGGTATCTCTGGTGCAGCAGGTTTGCAGGGTGCCCTTGAGCATTTCCCCGGGTGATTTCCTATATTTGCCCAGCCACATAGAAAGTGACCGAAAGTGAATAGGGAAATAAGAAAACGCAAAGCACGTGGCGTATCCGAGCTCACCATTCTTGGCCCTTCTCCGGACCCGTAGCCACGCCCTATTACGACTGCGTGGGCGAGTCGCCTATAAAAGCCCGTCTCGCTGCGTTTCGTCGCCACTGTCTCTTCCTGTTTGCGGTTGCGTCTGTCGTTGTTTGTAGCTGGAGCTGCAGTGGCCGTGAAGATGGCGTCTACCAGCCGGTTAGTACGTCATGTAGAGCCCAGCCAGCTGAAGGGCGGGCGGCGATTGCCGGGGCTTGCAGGGCGGCCGCTCCCGCTGTTTCGTCGAGCAGAACGCCTCGGTGGTGCGGGGAGAGGCAGCCGGACCGGCTGGCCGCTCGGGACAAAGGCACTTCCAGACGCAGGGATGTCAGGGCTGTCGCAGAGGGTAACGAGCCGCCGGCGTTTCTTCTCCGGCGTCCTTGGTCGTTTTCTTACCCAGGCACTATCGAGTGGGGGGCTCCGGTGTCCTCAGCCCCTGGCCTCGGGTCTTTTGCGTATGATCCAACCATCCTTTTTTTTTAAAATATTCTACGCTTGTTTTTTTATCTGTTGGTCTGCCAGCCGAGGGTCCGTGAATCCTCTTCTAGAGAGCGGGAAAGGGTTAGTTCTAGGCCTTTATCCATCTGACAAAAAGTTAGGGACGTCAGCGTTGGTAAGCCTGATGGAAACTGATAGCCATCCCCGAGGCCTTTTGAAGTGGAAGCTAAGGCATTTCTGAACAGTTGATAAGTCTCCTTAAGAGATTTCTTTAGAGATGTCATCTGCATACTCCTGAAGAAAATTTTGCCTGCAGAAAATCAACGTATACTGGGAAGTCACTCGGAGAAGGCAATGGCAACCCACTCCAGTGTTCTTGCCAGGGACGGGGGAGCCTAGTGGGCTGCCGTCTCTGGGGTCGCACAGAGTCGGACACGACTGAAGCGACTTTGCAGCAGCCGGGAAGTCACTAATATATTTTTAAAATGTGATGTACTGATTGATACTTACCGCAAATGCATACAGTGTCATTAGTACTCTTGCCTGGAAAATCCCATGGACGAAGGAGCCTGGTAGGCTACAGTCCATGGGGTCAGGAAGAGTCACGACTGAGCGACTTCACTTTTAGTTTTCACTTTAATGCATTGGAGAAGGAAACGGCAATCCACTCCAGTATTCTTGCTTGGCGAATCCCAGGGACAGAGGAGCCTGGTGGGCTGCCGTCTATGGGGTCGCACAGAGTGGGACACGACTGAAGCGACGCAGCAGCAGCAGCCATTAGAGACAACCTTTAATCCTGTGACATGAAAAATGCTTGCAGACCCTAATTATGTCTCTCATGATCAGTATGAGGTAGATATTAAGATTTTTGCCTAAGTGTAAACTGAGTCATGCCCATGTTTACTTTTCCAAGGTTAGTGTTAGAGTGTAGAATCTCATACATCTGTTTCCTGGTATCACACTTGGTAACTCATAATGTATTAAACATATCAGATTAAGTTCTGTAGCTTCTGGAAGGCAAGGTAACTGGCATAATTTTTCTGAACTTGTTCTCATCTTTGGAATTGAGTTCCTGATGAAAGCCATCATCACAAAATAATAAGCTTTGAGTAGTCCAGACCCTTTCTGGTGAGTACCAAGGCTTACTACTTTATGTTACTGTATTTTTAAAAGATGGGGCAGGAGGCAGCCTTAGCTAAACTACTTGGAAACAACTCTTAAGGCCAGTGACACTTGTTTACTGATTGTAATTCTGTGGTTAAATGCTCAATCATTCTATTTGGGTGTGGCTCTGTCAGGTTAGACTTCCCAAGGACTAGCTTCCCAAAGACGCCTATATATGACATTCTCCTAGGGCAGATCTACTATGAATGTGGTTATATTTGGGCTTTATTATAACATGTTGTAGTAGTTAACTGTAGTAAATTCACTTGATAGATTCTTTACCAGAAAAAAAAAAAATTTCCTTTGTGTGCTTTATTCTCTTCATTAAAAAATCTTTGAGATATTTCTTTGAAATTTTTCCTAGGCTTATTGCAGTTGTCCATCTCGAGTTTTTTCTACCAGTGAGAACAAAGATGAATGTTAGTATTTCTGTGATAGCTTTTCCCCCTCTGAGGAAAAGGGACAGTTACTGGGCTATGAAACTGCTTGGTGTTTTCACTGAGAAGAACACAAATGTTGTGAGTTCAGACCTAGACTCTACCACTCATTAGTTCTGTGACTTCAGGGAAATCATTCTCTGAGCATAATCTTTAAAATAGAGGTAATGCTTAATTTGAAGGGTAGTGCTAATGAAGATTAATAATATATGTACAATACTAGACACATAGTAGGCACCCGGTAAAGGATAGCTATAACATGAAGTTTGGAATTACGTGGCTTCTTAGGCAGCCTGAGTTTTAATGTCAGTGGTGGGTGGTTTGCTCCATTCCTTCAGTTTCGTTTCTATCCGTTACTTCACCCACCACCCTACTCTTGTGGTTTCTCTTTTGTATTACCCTTTTGGGTTACTTCATTAAAAGTTAACTGCTTGAGCACAGTTTTATTTTGGATAGGTAACACATGCAAATCATAAAAACCAAGAAGAAAAGTGAAAAGCAGTTTCTTTTATTCCCTCACTCCTAGCCATCTAATTCTTCAAAGCAGTCATTGTAACTAGTTTCTGGGTGTTTTCCTAGTGACTTTGTGGTTTAACAAACATATGCATGTAATCCTAACCTCTCTTCCTTCCAAAAAGTAGTCTGATATAAAAACTGAATGCTCTCTTGCTTTTTACCTTTTTTTGTGAAGTTATTTAGCACACAGGTTTTAAGTGTGCAGTTCAGTTAAAAAGTGAGCACATACACGTAGCTGTCACCCAATCAGATACCACTAGCAGCAGCAGAAGCACTCTGGAAACCTCCTTTATGCCCTCAGTCATTACCCTTTCTCAAAGAAAACCACATCCTTATTATTAACACTATAGATTTGTTTTGCCTGACTTAAACTTTATATATAAATGCATATGTATTCCTCTGTGTCTGGTGTCTTTTGGACACCAGAGATTTATTCATGTTATTGCATATGACTGTAGTTCTTTTCTCACTTTTCTCTGAAATCCCTATGTTGTTCTTTCAGCATATCTTTGAGTTGTTCCCATATCATTTTTATGTACATATACATGCACACAATAGTCTGCTTTTTAATAGTACAAAGTATATCAGTCCTTTGAATGCTGTGTGTCACATAGCTGCCCATTTTACACATTTGTAATTACAGTTACTTTTCTAACACTGTCCTTTATTTTGACACAGGTTTTTAAAAATAATTTATACTAATTTCTTAATGTTTTATTTGTTATAATTTATTAAAATATTTTCCTAGTAGAAGTTTATGGAATAAGCCTGTTGTTGTTCAGTAACTCTTCGGAACCCCATGGACTGCAGCACACCAGACCTCCCTGTGCTTCACTATATCCCAGACTTTGCTCAGACTCATGTCTATTGAGTCAGTGATGCCATCCAAGCATCTCACACTCTGTTGCCCCCTTCTCCTCCTGCCTTCAGTCTTTATCAGCATCAGGGTCTTTTCCGGTGAGTTGGGTCTTTACATCAGGTGGCCAAAGTATTTGAGCTTTAGCTGCAGCATCATTCAGGATTGATTTCCTTTAGGATTGACTGGTTTGATCTTGCAGCTCAAGGGACTCAAGAGTCTAATAAGCGTGAATGTAAACTAAACCACCATTCCCTGTTTTCCCAGTGAGAAGATTCAAGATGTGTTCTGGTTAACCTGAGTATGTACATTTGGGGATATGGATTATATTATCAGTTCTTCGGTGTATATCACCTCTGTTGAAACTTAACCATTCTGAACTGTGTTTGCTAGTTTGAGAAACTTTATCCAAAACCACAAATACCTGTTTACATACTTCAAGAATAGTTGATGTTGTCTTTTATATATTTGTTTGTGGAGCTTGTTCTGTATTACTTCAAGTGAACTTTTTAAAAAGGGCTTATTTTCAGTGATACCAGACATTTGTGATTGTAAGACACCACAGCCATAGAAGTTATTATTAAATCTATGTTAAATACCTTTGATGGTTTTTAGAACTGATTTTTTCAGGTCACTTAAGGCTGATGTGTCTTCCCCATACTGCCTTATTTTCAAAATAAAGTAATAGAGCAAATTATTAATATCACAAATAGATTTAAAAGTAGCTTTTGAAGTCATTTCTTGAGTGCTGACAAACTCAGTTCTGGACTGAATGAAATCATCCTAAGTTCAGCAGAGCCACATCTACCACCTTGGTTTGTATCCTTTTTAGGTTCAATGTACATTCAAGTTTATTATTAAAGTATCCAGCAAGCAGAAAAACACAGACTTGAAATTTATTCTCTCACCAGAGAAATAAGTGTCAAGGGTCGAAGACCAGATGGTTATATGTACATGTTGAGTGTTAACAATGGTAGATAGTCATTTCCATGCCAATCATGATTTATAAACACTTTAATAGTCTACATGTTAAAAAAAGCTTGTTTTCTGTTTATATTTTTAAAGCCTTCTATGTTGCAAACCAGGAACTATTCTTACAAAGGTAGTTCCAGTAGTATCTGTTAATTACTGAGTAGGATTTAAAGTAACATAACTAGGATGTTTACTTTGAAATTTGAGCTTAAATGTATTATAAGTGTAGATGTACTGTAAATTTATTGGGAAAGTGTTTAGAATCCACCTCTTTCCCCCTCCGAAAGATTAGTACTTTGTTGCATGTTGCTTAGAAGGATATTTTAAGAAAAATTTTTTTTCATGTAGTTTGGATGCTCTTCCAAGAGTCACATGTCCAAACCATCCAGATGCGATCCTAGTGGAGGACTACAGAGCTGGTGATATGATCTGTCCTGAATGTGGCCTGGTTGTAGGTAAGCAGTTACTATGATTTTAACTGAAAACACTATTTTGGGTACTTTGCTTTTATATATTTTCCAAACTCTCTTTCAATGAATACATTTTACTTTTTCCACTTACAGATAATACATATTTTTTTGTAAAGCAAATAGATTTAAAAGAAAGGAAATAAGTGAGAGTGAAGTCAGACACACCATACTTTGCTGTCTATAGAAACACATATATTTCATAATGTGGGGTAGGATGGAACATCTAAAATTGAAGTAATTAATCCAGAAGGAAAGGCCCTTAGTCCTTTGTTTTCTGAGTTTTTGGCTTAAATATTTGATGCACACTTGTGCATATGGAAATAATGAATAAATGTAATCTACCTTTTGTGATTTTTTTATATTTAAACATGATTTGTTTCAGAGCAGTGACGTTAGATAAGCATGAATTATTTTGGGATAATAAAGGTATGTCTTTATAGAGGTATTGAGTGTCATGCAAGGCCTTTTAGTCATCAAAAAAAGATTTGTTTAAATTTCATTTGCTCATACAGACTGATTTATTTATGAATTTCTAGTGTGAAATTGTTACTGCCAAAAATACTGCTTCTTAAAATTTCACTTTATTCCTACTTGCTCACTAATCTAGATCTGTAGTATAACTTTAGGATAGAGATAGTCTGTTCAGAAATTTTTCTTATGGTGAGGTTGTCTCCAGCACCTGAGAAAAGGTATACTTTAAGGTTTGAAATACTCGAAGACTGAAACTGCTAGTAGGATTGTGGACAGTATAACAGAAACATGGATAGTGTTATACTGTGGAAGTGTCTTGCTTGGAGGACATGTAATATTCATCCAAATAGGGTGCTTGCCTCAGACCTCCAGTGGGGGTTTTTAATCATACAGAGTTGTTAGTAGGAATTGAAATCCATTTGCAATTATATTCTACTCAGTAAGCATTATTAACAGTTAATAAGCTTATATGCTAGGCACTGTTCTAAGTGACTTACATATTCACTCAGTTTTCCTCGGTGACACCTCTGAGGTATATCTTCATTTTAGAAATGGCGGAAACAGCATTACGTAGTCCAGCAGTCTAGTTCCGCTGCCATGGCTCCAGTGTGACCTGTCACCTGCTTTTATGTGGCCTGTGTGCTGGGAATGGCTTTTATATTGTTTTAATGGTTAAAAAATCAAAATGATATTTGGGGACGTGAAAATATTATCAAAGTCAAACTTATAAATAAAATTTTATTGGAATATAGTCACACTGATTTGTGTATATATTGTTTGTGGCTGCTTTCATGTTGCAACAGCAGAATTTAGTGGTTGTAAAAGAAACATGTCAATGTATGGCAAAAACCAGTACAATAATGTAAAGTAATTAGCCTCCAATTAAAATAATTAATTAAAAAACAAAAAGAAACCTTATGTGGTGTTCTCATCACATCATACTGCCGCTCAGTGCACTGCAAATCCCAGTTATAAATCTGCAGCATTTTGAGTGCCAAGCATAACCTCCATACTGTAAATTTATTTATTTTGTTACCATTGCATACCCATCAAGTCAAAATGAGAAAAAAAAAAGATGAACTCTGAATGTCATGCTTTTAAGGCTTAGTGGAGCATACGTTGTTTGTTACTGGATGAAATGGCAAAACATTGTCCTTATCATGTGGTCCATACTATAGATATGCCAGAAGAAGACAACTGATGTTGACATTATCAGGCTAAGCAGTCATGACAATACTGCTAACTCAGGAAAACAGTGGTCATAAAATTTAGAAAATACCAAGTAGAATATCTCATCACAGCCGAATTTCTTCACAAAAGTAAAAGAATAAAAATAAGGCTGCAGTTAAGTTTCTGAGTGGCTCATTTGTGGGCCAAACAGGGAAGATCATTTACCAATAATGAGTTATTTGTGTTTGTAGTAGCTGAAGAAATGTGTCCAGAGAATATAAACTTAGTTAAGACTGCTAGCCTCTCAGCAGAAACAGTTGGCTTGAAGAGTTGAGGACGTTGGGAGTGACATCAGTAGTAAATTAAAAACAAGATAATTTATTTAAGTATTTTTCCTAGACTCTTGATGACTAGACAGGTGTTACAGATATTGCTGATTGTTTATTCACAGAGTCAGTGCAGAGTTTCATAGACTATGAATCAGCTGCATGGAACAACTACAGGAGAAACTACTTGTAAATTAAGTTGCTAAAATACTGATTCAGTACAACCTGAAGTGGAATCTGCTAGGATGTGTAGTGCAGAAGACTTAGTTGGACAAACTTATAAAGATTGTGAAAATGGAAGATTTTTCAAGTGTATAGTAATCCATTGTATTACTCATCTGCTGTGTTGTAGAAAAGGTTTGAATTCATCATGTGTTATTGATCCATATATAATGTCAGTTGAGAATTTCATTCACCCTCATGGACTTAACTGTCATCAGTTCTATAAATTTTTGCCAGAAATAGAAGCTGAGTATCTTGACTTGCCCAACCACACAGTCATTTGGTAACTTAATAATGGCAAAGTTTTCCTGTGACTTTATTAAAGCTCTGGGGCAAGGTTGAAGTTTTTCTGAGCCAGTACTGCCCTCACCCACTACCATTGAACACAAATGGCTTCAGAAATTAGGTTTTCCTGCAGAGTTGCTAGTGTTTATTAATAAATTCAATCTAGAACTGCAAAGGCAAAGCGGTGATTGATTGATTACACTGTAGTAAAGCCAGTTTGACCACTAGCATTATTTAAACATAAGTAATGTCAAATTGCTTTAATGTATCTTACGTAGTTTCATTGTTGTCAGAAGTTAAAACAAAAACTAAGATTTTAATTCCCACCCCAATATGCAGTGGATATATTTTCCAAACTCAAGCTTTAATCAGTGTTTTTCAGACTTTGCACTTTATAAGTGCAAAGGAAATTTTCATATTTTAAAACTGCTTAACTGTAATTAAGGAGCTTCTACCTAACCTTTAATTGGAAGTGATTTTTTAAATCTACAGTATAATGACATGTTAAAAGGTAGATATCAGAAGAATGTAATAAAATTCTGTAAATGCTTTCCAAGCAGTGTATATGCTCTACTGGAAATGCTTGTGTATTAATATCAGTATTTGATTGTACTTGTCTGCATGAGGGAAGACATTTTTAAAAGTAAGATACGTAAAATTTTTTTAATACAACACTGACAGATGACCATTTGTAATCAATTAAAAAAAATTTTTTTTTGATGGTAGGGAACACTGACTTTGAACTCTGATTAAGTGAAATGTTATCCCTTCAAAAGAGAATTCTTTTACTCCCAGTAGTAGAAATTGTATTATAACAAATTATATTTGGTCATTATTATATTTTTAACTTGATTAAAAACTAGTGGATTATTTTCTTTTTGTTCAATTACCTATATGTATATAATATAATATATATATAACATAATAACCTCAGTTTGGCCTCTGGACCCACAAAGCCTTTATAAAATGTTTTCTATGGCCCTTTACAGAAAATGTTTGCTGACCCCCAAGTTAAATGAGAGCATTCTAATTCTTCCCAAGTATTAAGATTGAACTGATAATATGTAAGAGTGAGACAGAGACGGAAGATGAATTAGAATTTCAGTTTCTTGGTTCTCTTAACTTCTGTTGCCATTTAAAAAGAAATAGTGGAAAAATACTGTATTGTATTTCTAGTTTTTCCATCAGCTTCACTTCTGCTGTAACTAGCAAGATAGTTGGATAAAATTAAGTAACTGGAGAAGGAAGATATAATTCTCAAGTCTTACATTCTTTTTAGTACTTGGAATCCTAAATTTTACTTTTTTTTTCCCTATCTCGAACCAAAGACAGTTAATTTCCTTTTAATTTTGCTTTATTATTATTATTGAACAGCATCAAAAATGGTATTTTTCAATCTAACTGTGTAGGCTAAATTTTTATTTTTCCAGTTTATTTGGCTGCATCAGGTCTTAGTTGCATCACACAGGATCTTTCATTGTGGTGCACAGACTCTCTAGTTGTGGCACTTTCTCATTGTGGCTTTCCTGGTGGCTCAGATAGTGAAGAGTCTGCCTGCAGTGCAGGAGACCCAGGTTCGATCCCTGGGTTGGGAAGATCCCCTGGAGAAGGAAATGGCAACCCACTCCAGTATTCTTGCCTGGGAAATCGCATGGATGGAGGAGCCAGGCAGGCTACAGTCCATGGGGTTGCAGAGTCGGACATGACTGAGTGACTTCACTCCTTCACCTCACTTCACTAGTTGTGGCATGTGGACTTAGCTACCCTGTGATGTGTAGGATCTCTGTTCCTGACCAGGGATCAAAACCATGTTCCCTGCACTGCAAGCTGGATTCCCAACCACTCGACCACCAGGGAAGTCCCCAGGCTAGATTTTAAGGCCTGAAAATTTTGAAGTATAATCTGATTAAACTTTCCTGTATATAGAAATACCTGTTTGTGATGTTGGGTTTTCTGACAAAGTATAACAAACTTTTGTTTTAACATACACAGTAGCCCCATTCACAGGTATTGTGATTAAATGTATAATGTGATGTCCTGCAAGTGAAGAATCAGGCAAGGGGAGGCAAGCAAGAAGGAGTCTGCAAACAGAAAGTTCCATTTTGCTGATGTTACCATCAGTCAAATTATGTTGAAAATAGTTTAATTGATCATGACTTTCCATGGGTCTAAATTGTAAAAATACATAGACATATGTACACATATACAGAAACATATATCATTGTCATATATTAATAATAAATCAGATTTCCATCATCATTTTGATTTAAAGGCATATGCTCTTCTCTTGTCAGCTCAGTTCAACCTTTATCTGTAATACTCTGGAGATAGGGAAGAAATTAAGCTGGGCAAATATTCTGTAGTCCACTGAGGGCATAAAATTTGTAACTTTTTTAGCATTTGAGATATTGATGTTCATAGTGATTTATATTTAGATAGCATCATCCTGTGTCTACTAATAAATAATTTTGGTGTACATAGTTTGATTATACTTGCCATGAAATTTTACAT